ACTACACTACTTTAACTAATAATATCATTATTACCGATATATATATATATATATATATATATATATACTGTTCTTCAAATGTAATCAGCTGACTGTTGTTTCGTTTTCTTATTTCTTTTCCTGTCTGTTAGTCTAAATAACTTCACTGATTATATATATTATTATTATCTCTTTTCTTTTGAGGACGATACCGGAGGACTAACTGGTGAGAGGATCAACTCCATTCACAGTAGTAACAGTTATATCATACCTCATACTACAAAGAACATATAATTAATCCCAGTACTTTTGTAGTCAACCAAAGCTACGACAGTCGAGTGACGGGACGAGCTACGCAGAAGTTCACCGGAGATCAGGAATCTATACCTCATAATCAAGAGGCGAGCACAAAGAAATCAAATTTGTTTATACTAGCTCGTAAAAACGATATTGGATATTGAAATAGAGAACGAAGTAGACGCTCAATATTCAAAAAGTGTAAGTAGTTATCGCAATTCGTCCCCTACATTCTAGTGAAGATTTTCTTAACTGAAATTCAGTGTCATAAAATCGAGAAATTAAAATGTAACTCAGATAATACCGTAAATGAAGAATATTGAGAAGGGAAGAATTTGGAATCGTCCACTTTTATATCTAATGTAAAGCTGACAACACATTGATTCATGGAAAATACTGTAGAGAGTGCTATAAATGCAACAGTCCGAATACTTGACCACATGTTAAAATATTCATCAAGAACTGACTATGCATCTGATGACTTCAAAGAACTGACAAAACTTTTCGTTAAGAGCTACTTTGCCATTGAAAGCCCGAAACATGTTGCAGATAGTTATAGGCTGTGGATTGCATGCAACGTGTTGTCTAGTGAAAAATACTCTTGTGGAATAGTGAAGATATTTGTGGACTTGGGAAATCTGGCTCTTTGTCCTCAACACGATGGACGTCCATCAATCGATGAAAAATATGTTGCTCTCTTATCCAGTCTGCAGTCAACACTATGCAACTATGTTGAGTTGAGCATAACCTTAGCAGAAGCGATATGTGTTCAGAGGGCTTATGTTGGGGAAATATCACGCGTATTGTCAGTCTGTGAAAAGTATATTGGCAGCGAGTTGGAGAGAGTGAGGGATTTAAATTCTAACTTTTTCTTCTAGAAAATTACATTCATAGCTGAAGTGATTATAAAGAGTTTGTACAACTTCTCATGCCACGATAGCATTCTGGTACTGAATGCCTTCCGAAATCTGCATTTGACTGACTTAGTATTAAATTTTACTTTTAGTAAAAATACGGATTTGCAAGTATGAAGCTTTTAGAGTTGATATTTTTCTAGACAGCATCCTACATGTTCTTGGCATATATTTATGGAGAAGCTGATCAAAGTACATATGTAGTAGAATTTTTTACACTCTCTCTACTGCCAAACATTACAGTACATTCAGACAGAGTGTGTGGATACAAATGCGAAGAAATCCTTAAAGGTAAGCATTGTCAGTGTACATCGTTTCTGTCAGCATAAATGACAAGTATGTGACTTCATTTTCTATTTTATTACGACTACTTAATTAACCCATTCCAACTTATTATTTTAGGTACCAATTTATTCCTTCCATTGAACTAAGTTTTGGAGAATGAGAGCTTTGCACTTTACCGGTAAATTTCAGATTAGTAACAACAAATGAGGCATTAATTCGTTAAATAACATATTTTTTGGAGCCAAGTCTTTTCCTGAATGGCAGGACAACTTCCAAAAAGAGCGGAAATTTGAGTTCCACTTATATGCTTGGGAAAAGAAACCATTACAATCTTACATATCATAGACTGTCCTTATTGTTATTGATCCTATGGCTTTTGATTAACTTGCTAAGTGTGTGTGCTGGTCACATACTATTCATTTTTATCAGATGCATCTCCATTTTAATTTAAAATTAAATGCCCTAGTAGCATTCCTTCACTGGTGAAATGATAATGTGGTTTACCATGATATTGATGATTAATGTAAACAAACAAATTTTATTCAGTCAAGCTATAGATATTAAAGACTCTCTTACTTCTAAAGTTTATAAGCTAGCTGTGCACACCTTCTAAGCTAATCGTAAGATGGACAAAAATAGACAGACATTCCCGTAAAAGATTGTCAGCTGTTTAATTTGACAGCAAATTATGGGTTGTAAATTACTACCACCACCGCAACTATGGGATCTATAAAATAATTGTTGATGATACCGGTATGTTTGAATTTTATTTTGTTAAAAATGCGTGAATGCAGTGGTCCTTTTTTCTATTTATAATATGTGGAGTGCAGGCACATATGAGAGTGTGAATTACAATTAACACTGATCCATTCAGCCACTTACACTGGTTTATTTTGAAATTCATCACATTTTAACGGTAGTTAATAGCTATACATATATGTGCGTCTATCAAATGTGTAACTGTGTGCAGGAAGATAAATGATTCATCAAAAAGCTTATAATTCTGCGTCAGCGAAAATTGTAGGTACGTTACTAGTGAACCCTGTAGGTCCTTACTCAATGACTGCTTTTTTCAGAAAGCTTGCAAGTAGCCTTATATTTTATCTGAAACCGAAACCCTTTTGTTTATTCACAATATACAGAATAATTATTAGTGCATCAATTAACAAAGGTTACTGTTCAACAGAAGAATTGTTTTCGCATAGGTTGATACATGCTTATATTACTGAATGTTTCTTTTTCCATGGAAAGAATTGTCCTGAAAGGACAGAAGTCACACTTTCTTTAGGTTTTTTGAAAGATCTAGTTACTTCTGTAGTACTTAACACAAAAATATGTGCTAACGCTTCAATTAATAGCATTTTATTATTTGCGTGTATGTCGAAAAGATGGGAAATTTGAACAACCAATTTAAAAGAAACTAGTGTGCTTACTGTAGATGTTTATTTTGGAAAAGTAAATGAATATGTTTCGTAACTCCAAAAGATTTTATCGTGGGTCCTGAAATTGATTTACTGAATCTCTCCCACAGTAGGTGAGGAAATTTATAGACTCACCACTCAGGTTTCTGAGTCAGTTAAGTCATGCTTTATAACAAATGATCAATATTGGATGTTAGCAAATAATGTCTTCGGACTTAACTGACGGAGAAATTTCGCCTAATCTTGAAACTATTATTATTAAATATTTTTCTTTTACTTTTCAGTTGTTATAGGACTTAAGAACTGAAAAACTGTGTTTTAATAACTTTTCCATTCTTTAAAGTTATCACTGTGCTAGTGTCTTCTTTATTCTAGAACTGAATATAAATGGCAGGCACTGATTATAGAAAATATAATTTCTAACAATAAATAACTCATCATTTCAGATGTTACATACCTCTCCACCTTTAGCAGCTTGTATATTTGACTGTTCCATATGTCAGAAGACATGAAGAAGTCAAAGTTTAGTTAGATGTGTTAGAATTAAAATGTGGATCCTATTGATAGCTTTATACGGAAAACATAAGATATCTGGTTAGGTTCCTGAAGATGTTGGAAATAAGTTGTCTAAGGTAGTTGACAAAATATTTTACAGTAATGCAAATAAGTTCACTCTTTAAGATTATGAACATTACCAATCTCTATCAAATTACTTTCTTTCAAGTATGTTTATCCAATACAGTACCACAAAATTTATGTCACGTGTACAAAATGTGGTAGTGCGAACTCAGCTGGTTACACTCGGATTTTTTTATCTCTGGGTAGGAATTTATTTAGCTATTGTAAAGATACAAAATAATGTATACGAAATGTGATCAAGATTTGATTAAACCTTTTGAAAAACGTAGGGCTCCAAGTAAAATTTAAGCGTTGGTTTGTAGGGATTTGATTGGTTACAGGATTTCATCATGAGCTAATATTGGTTAGAGAATCATTGTAAAACTTGGGAGTACTGGACAACTGTTTCGTCCTATTTTGGGACTCTTCATCAGTGCGCACCCACCGAGGCTCAAACGCCGGACCTTCTGGTCACAAGGCAAGTTTGTATACCAGTGGGTGCGTACTGATGAAGAGTCTCAAACCAGGACGAAACAGCTGTCTAGTATTCACAGATTTTCCAATGGTTCTCTAACCAATTTCAGCTCATGATGGAATCCTGTAAAATGTAGGCATACGTATAAATTATATTTTTACAAGTCTAAGGAGACTGATAAAAATGATATTCCAACATTTTTCTGACGAACTGGTTTGAAATTCTTCTGCGGTTTATACAGATATATTTTCGCAAATTCAAGGGTAAGTTAGAACCACTGAGACTGCTGCTTTCAGTTATTATTGATTAACTTCAGATGTTCATTTTGAAAATGGACTGCTCATACATCTAAGCGGTAATACTATGAGAATAGGGTTGACCTTTCGGTAACTCTGGATTACTTTTTACAATGAATTAGCAACAATACTTTTGTGTCTTTCCGCCCTTAACTACTTGCCCCTATTCATCGTTATTATATAAACTCCCCTTTTGTGTGTATTAAAGCTGTTTGTATCGTTTGTTTCGGAAGCTAATCACTTAATTGATTTAGACTCTGACCTTTATTTTTTATCACTGTAGTGAGTTAAATTTAATACAGTCATAAATATTTACTGAACTGTTTGAATTAGCAGTACCGGTGATTTTATAAATGAAAGTTATGATTATTTATATTTCTTTATTTTAAAAATAGAATTGTGCAATATCTTAGGCACATTTACTATTATTTTGCCATATCATTTGTACTCCAGGAATGCACAAAATAACATTTGAGATATCTCTTTTTCCAAAAATATTTTTCAAAGGTTTAAGGCTTTTGGCATCAAATGAAAAAAACCTGGAGTCCTCATCCTATTATACAGCCCTGAAATACCTGAGATTGTTTCTGAAATCTTTCAAGGGAAAGCATTAGAAGAAACTATACTCATCCTATGGATTTTATCATTCAGTCCTGGCATTAAAAATAAAATAAACAAAGAATTTAAAGATGACATAAAAAATCTAGCCGTGTTTATGAAACAGAAGCAGTCTGAATATTCTATAGAATTGCTGAAAGCAATTTATGGACTTTTATGGCAGTTAAAAGAAGGTTAGTTTACAATGGAACATACTGTGTACATATGAATTATTTCATTGTGGTTATACGGGCCACTTAATGACTTCACATTAAACTACATTCGCTCAATAAACCGTAGATATTTTCTAAATACAAATTTTGGACTTACCCAATAATTATCAACGATTAGCAAAAGACAATCCTGCTGACTAATACACTCTAATGCAGAATAATATGAAAATCAAGGAAGACAAAGATTATCAGAGCAACGATGAGGGTCTTTTCAACTTACCTGTACACACTCAAAAACAGACCAAGACTTTTTCGTGAAATAATGATAGAGTATTATTGTTCTCTTGGTTCTATGTGGAACATAGGGAGTCAGCAACACATCTCCCCTTTGTTATATCTTCTACCGTCCTCTTCAGCTCTGTCTACGATTACCCATAATCTCTCATCTCCTCCTCGCACGAAATCATTAATGTCACCCTTGAATGACCCACTCGATGGTCCTCACTTGAATTCCACTCGAGGACTTGGGGCGCGATGTCATTTAATGGTCTTTTAACTCTGCGTCCGATCCATCTCCATTTTCTTCTAAATGTATGTCGAGCAATCGGGTATTGATTCGTTTGTTGCCAGCCAGAGTTTCCTGTTGCTGATTTTTCCCGGCCATCAAGTCTTCGATGTGGAAAGAAGGTAGCTGTTGATAAAATTCTAAAACCTGTTGAAAGTGTTTTTCGTGATGTGCCATTTTTCTCACTGGCATAGAAGAAGTGACTGACTTGATACCTTTGTTGAAAATCCGAATCTCTTTGTTTGCGTTGTAGGGTGCCCAGGATTTTCAAACTGATTTCAGAGGTATAGACGTACTTTGCCTTTCAATTCTGGCCGTCTTTGAAATCACCATCCGAGTCACTGTCTGTAACTTCCTGGAGAAGTGAAGGAGGTTATCTCTTTCAAGTATGTCCCATTGGTAGTGATTGATGCTAATTGTTGCCACTGTTGGTTGGTCATCTTTATCACCTCTGTCTTCTCTACGTTCACTTGATGTTCTGTCTTTGCTGCCAGCCTCCTCACCCAGTTTGTGTGACATTAGATATAAATCATCTGTAAAATCCAAATCTTCGAGATTCTCTTCCTCTATTCTCACTCTCCACAGTCTAACGCATGATCCAGTCCATTGTATTCAGGAATATCACTGGTGGTGATAGACAGCCTTGTCTTACCGCTGTCTTCACTTCAATGGCTTAGCTAGGTTTTGCACTGTGGATCCCTTTACGCGTGGCTTTGTCTCTGTGAAAAAATAAAGTTATTGTTACTTAAAAAGTAGTTGCATAACCCAGTAACTCACCAATAACACATATTGTGATATCTGGTTTTCAGTTTTTACATTGACTCAAATGTCAACTGGGTGAAGAAAAATTATTTTCAGCCTAGATCCGTGATTAGTCCCTTTCACAATATAAAAATTCCAGTAACAACTAACTACAAATATGGTCAAACTACAAAGTATATTTATGATGTCTTTTAAGTTCTTAAAGCAAGATAAAGGAATATTAATTAATGCTCAAGATCATCTTGATACAGTCACTCAATTCAGGAGAATATTTACTCATAATTAATTCTAATGTAACGTAAAATTTGAACAAAACCGGATTTTTCTCAGGTTTGACCATGGATTGATGTCAGTTAGAGAACCATTAAAATTAAAGGAATGCTGGACAGCTCTTAAGTTCCATTTGGGAACTTATCCGCACTACGCACCCACTGAAGTTTGAACACAGGACCTTCAGGTTACAAGGTAGACACGTCGACTATTAAGCCCTGGGACTCGACTCAGTGGCCAGGCATCAGCCTCTACCAATTTGTGATTTTAGCGCGACCAACATACAGTGTTATCAGTGAGTATTTTTCTCTCTATCAACAGTATGGACCCAACTGTTACCAGTGCCTGAGTGGTCTACAGGATTGTTTTGTGACCGTGAAGTCCTGGATTCGAACTCCGGTAGGTCTATACTGATGATGAGTCAAAAGCTCTAGGACGGAACAGCTGTCCAATACTGATATCTATGCGTGGTGCTAACTGAAAACAACGAGCCAAAACCCATCATTTTAAAAGCTTTAACAAATATGAGTGTTAAGCCTGATTAATATCCTTTCAGTAGTGAATTTTGAATTGTGACATAAACAGATCGAAAATACCCCGTAGTCATGAAGAAAATAAAAGGCGATTCAGGGTAGAAAACTTTATTTATCGATGACGTCATCTTCGAGAGCTGCACAATCGCATTACATTTACTAAAATTGTAAAGCAGTCTAGTATTAAGCAGCAGGGTTGTTTGACATTATTTATGATATAACTCAGAAGTGGTTTCTAAAGAGGTTGCATAATAGTCAGCGACACAATAGAAGTAAGGGTTTAAAAGTGGATGAGGCCAAAATTATTATTCGATAAGAAATGAGATAGCTGAATGTCCACTTGACGCGGTTGAAGAAGATTAAAAAAACTAACTAAACGCACAAAAAGGAAATATTAGAGAGATAACAGCAAGTTACTTACTAGAGAAAGAAGCAAGAAAGTAGAAAGGAGTTTAAAACTTTGGTAGAATTACAGACCAGACTAATTTCTCCCGCACACATACCTTGGAGTTATATTGGCGAATAGAAACATAACACTGCTTTTACTATTCAGCCTTACCTTGTAAATAATTTTAAAACAAGTCTTGATTAAATCACTGTAACCTGAGTTCAATGATTATGTGATAATGCAGCTAGTCATTGACTTGCACTGTCCTATTGATAAGAATACAAAATAGCTTTTCAGAGATGTGCTTGAAAAATATGAGCTCGACAGAAGCAAGTGAATTTATAAACACACTGAGTATTGATGTCTTAGTTGCCGGGATTTCTTTTTGTATACATCTCTTTAACTTCCTAAATGTTTACCAATTCCCCTTAATTGTGAACTATTGCAATCATGAAAACAAATTTCACTACCATATGGAGATGCTTTACAATCAAACACACCTATTTAGGTCTAATGAAAACTGCAGTGTGATATATACTAGAGGAAATACACTAAAATATTATTTCTGACGTTTTACCATGTCTGCATTTTAGATGACAGTTCTGTAAAATCTATGCCCAAAGTAAATTCCCTTGCTTCACCTGATGAACATATTATGGTTAGCTATAGTCATAAGGAGAAGGATATGGCCGTAGAATTGATCAAGCATTTGAAAGAAAAAGGTTACAAGGTAAGTAGAAATTCAATTCTATCTTTTTCACCAAGCTGATACCTTGCTCATTTTAAAAATCCTTCGCGTCAATGGCATAGCGGTTATGACTCTAGCCGATTATGCACATGGTCTGGGGTTTGATCCTCTGCCGACGCACACCTGATATCAATGGTCGGCCTGCAAAATTTGGGTTACCGATATCACATGCTGAAAATTTTACATCTGTAAAAAAATACGGTGTGAAATCAAGCTGTAATTAAAAAAATATATATTAAAAAAAAACAAACAAAAACACACGAGATACTTGTAGATAAGTCGATTTTTAAGGTATATTTTAGTACGCCAAGCTCTGTAAGGAAAATTATTTTGACCATTTTATATGTAACTATTAGTTTTTATTAAATATTTCATGGGTAAGTGAGTCAACACCACCATGCAAAGACTAGACATGAAATTGAAAAGAATGTAAACCACATCAAATTCACTACATTTCATTTCATGTCATCAAGATTTGTAAAAGACATTTTAAGTGATGCAATCTAACAGATTAACGTGTGATGAGCATAACAATGTGGAAGTTCTCAGAGAAGCGTATCAGTTCGACTCACACGACTCCAGAAATGTAAACAAAATTAGAGTTAGCATAAATCCTAGAAGGTGACATAAGAAAATTCAAAATTCATTGAATTCTTTTAATCCAGAAATATATTTCTGTGCATGTGTTAATATTAACTGTCTTTGTTGATGTTCTAGTGTATGTTACATAAAATTTTTATTATGTCATCAGCTGATACCTTATGAACTCTGTAGGTTTTATTTATAAGAAGTAACACTGTCAGGTATACACGTTTTATGGATTTATCAAGAGAGAATAGTAGTATTTATACAACTGTATATACCTGACTGTAGAATTCTATTTTTCAAAGTACTACTTAAGACGCATTAAATAAAAGTAAGTAATAAGATGATTGTTACGAATTCTTACAATGAAATAATCTATCAAATTTTCGACTAGCTGAAATCACTGAAACCAGTTAATTATTAGGGAATTGATTTATACAAGCTGGCAAAAGATATTCACCAAGAAAATTTTCTTTAGACCAAATATTTTCAAAAGCTGTTCGTACGTACGTACGTACGTTCGTACAATCGTTTGTCAGTAAATAGTTCCATAACTGACTAGTAAGTCGAAGTTACTAAAGAGCGTTACAGATTAGAGAAAATGCTTTGGAAATAACTGTTACATCTTACATGGAAAGACTAGCTGTCTTTGATCATAGGTGTTTGCGTTCTGTCTCTCATGTTAGGTGGTATAACAGGGTAGGCAATACTGAAGTTAGGCGTCGAGTTCTAGGTAAGGAGGGGAAATCGGCGAGGCTGTGAAGTTACATCGACTGAGATGGCTGGGGCATGTGTTACGCATGCATGCCTAGCCATCGCCTTACTCGACGGGCAATATTAGCTGACATAGGGTCAGGCTGGAAAGAGTTAGCGGCGGTCAAACCAAAACATGGTATCAGTCAGTAAAGTCCACAATAGATAGTTTAAGCCACGTAGAAGGGTGTAGACTGCCATCTGGTTGGGTTCCTCGGGACGGTAAAAACCAATGGTTGGAAATAATTGGTGATATGGCTCAAAATCGTTCTCAATGGCGCAGATGCATTCATTCCTTGTAACTTATAGTTTCCGATGAAACTATATTGCCCTTCGTTATTACTATTCCTTTTGTCTCATATCCCTGTTTACTGTCTCTACTTTCTTCTTCGTGCGTCGGTGGCACAAGGTTAGCATGCTCGCCGACCATGGTCCGGGGTTCGATCCCCGGCCAACGGACTCCTTTACCTCGCTAAGCCAAAAATAATGCCGAGGAAAGGTTGGGCATGAGGCTAGCAACCCCATCTGTAAAAATAAACACTGCTACAGAAACTTCAAGCCATCAGCTTGAAGCCCTATGTTCCACTGGGAACGTGAAGGAAAAATTATTAAATTGTACTTTCTTCTCTTGCTTTGTGTGCTACATGGAGTGTGGCAACTTAAACTGCTGCACATCAATGCAAAGTTCTATGTCGAAACCGACAGACAGACAGTATATATTTATATGTATGACAACCTTATCCCGATCTACATTTCAAAAAGATTGCCACGATCTATCATTTAGACCGTTATCAACATTCAATTCTATATAAAATAATTTCCACAGTCTATATAAATAAAACATGTTTCAAAACTAAACTTTCAATAGGCACATCCACTGTCTTTTGCATAAAAGTCAACTGCCCCCAAAGGTGACTATATAATCTATTTACACACATCAATGTGTAAATACAATAATGAATGAAGTTAATTTTGAAAAAAGAAAAAGATTTTTTCCTCGTTTTGATGAACCAGTGTCTTTTTCTGCTTCTTCTTCAGGTGTGGATTGATGCAGATGATATGAAAAATACTGATAATATACTGGATGGTATGGCTGAAGCAGTGGAAAAAGCCTATGTTGTATGTGTTCTATTTTCTGAGAATTATAAAAGAAGTCCTATACAAAACGTGGTAAGTGACTCAGTATATATACAGTGTAAATGAAAAGGTTATACGGTGTAACTTAATCATTAGTTATTATTTACATGACTAATCAATAGAAGAATTATAGTTTCTTATTCGTGTGTGTGTGTTCACAGAATCACAAGAATTATTATTATCATTATTCCCTTGCGTTCTGAGTGGAACATAGGGATTCAACAACACATCTCCACTTTGTTCTATTTTCTTCCGTCCTCTTCAGCTGGGTCAAAATAGCTTATAATCTGTCATCTCCTCCTAGCCACATGATCTCCCTATATCACAATTGGAAGATCTACTCATTGCTACTCAGTCAGGTTCCACTTGAGCTGTGGCCTTGTGAACGATGTCATTCGACGGCCTTCCCAGCGTATACCCAATCCATTTCCATTTTCTTCTAAATATTTCTTGAGCAATTGGGTCTTGGTTAGTCTGTCCCCAGAGTTCCTTGTTACTAATTCTTTCTGGTCATTTAGCCTTCAATATGGAGCGAAGGTAGCTGTTGATAAAGTTCTGGAACCTATTGGAAATGCTTTCCGTGACGTGTAGTGCAAGTTTCTGACTCCTATAGAAGTAACTGACTTGACACTTGTGTTGAAAATCAGAATCTCGTCGTCTGTGCTGTAGAGTGCAGAAGACTTCCAAACTGATTTCAGATTGATGATGACGTATTTCGCCTTTTCAATTCTGCCTACCTTTGAAATCATCATCTATGCCACTGCCTGTAACTGAACGATGCTTCCTGAGAAGTGAAGGAAGTCACTTCTTTCAAGTTTGTCTAATTGGTAGTGACTGGTGCTGTTTGTTGTCGCTGTTGGTTGGTTATCTTTATCATCTCTGTTTTCTACATGTTCACATAGGTCTTGTCTTCTCTGCTTCTTCAGCTGGTTTGTTGGTTTTCCCCTGTAAGTCTTCGAATTTGTATGGCATATCGTCTGTGAAATCCCGATCTTCTAGATTCTTCTTATCAGTCCTCCAGCATATTTCTGTATTCTCACTCCCAATAGCATGATGAGTGATCATGTTCACTAAACTCAGGAATGTCATAGGTGGTGATAAGCAGCCTTGTCTTAATAACATATTCACTTCGAACGCCTGACTGACTTTCCGTTGTGGATCACCTGACACGTGGCTCTGTCATATAGCAAGCTGTTGAATGAGATTGACAAAGATTTGGGACACCTCATAGTGTTCAAGTAGTCTCCAAATTACTTTTCGATCAACTCTGTGCTGTTTGTCAAAAGCCTCTTCGAAGTTCATGAAGTTGAGGTGGAGTTTTAACTGCCATTTTATGCTTTGTTCGGTGATGACGGTGCGTAGAGTTGCGATTTGATCACCACATAATTTGCCTTTCCTGAATCCAGCTTATTTCGGTCTGTATCCGTTGGCTCCTTTATTCTCTCCAATTGAGTTAATTAGTTATGAATTGTTTAAAATAAAATGCGAAGGTTACCACCAATGTACGATAGTAATTACAGTTTATTCTGTTATATTAAGAAAAGTTTGTCACCAGAGCTGATTCAAATTTAGCAATCTGAACATGCCTTAGGAATCAATTTCTAAACACTAATTTCATTGAAGCGTGTACATTATATTTTCTACTACAAACATTTTACGCTAAGACAAAAGAAACTGTTTAGATTCAGTTTCTGTTGTTGATTTGAATTTTGTTTTTCAGTCCCTTGCATTTCAAGTGGAAAGTAGGGCTTCAAGATTTAGACTTTGAAGTTCGAGTAGCACTTGTGCTTTTTTCCGAGGTGAAGTTGCCAACCGCACGCCTTAAATACCCTCTTTTCCAGGATTAATACCTATTAAAGGAGATTTAGGAGTGCGTCTGCGGGGTATCGAGTCCGGATCATATGCTTGGTCGGTTGGTTTCAACTAAAGCTTTATTATTGCTCTCATGCAGTGATATATACAGATTTGTTACATTTATGTTGCAAGCTGTTTGAGGAAGTCTTAGTGGTGAGTACAAAGGTCGTGATTCAAGGGGTGAACGTCTAAGTAGGTTTTTTTATTTTAACGTAGGAGTTTAGTTTCAGATATTGTTGATTGCTGATAAATGAGTGAAGCGAATAAAAGAAAATGATTTTTTATACTTTTTGACTGATACAAGTCAGAATTCAAACCATCCTGAAGGTTCTAGGCAGTATCACTTCAGATAAAGGTGGCAAATATGGGTATGTCAGAGTCAGAAACAATTGAAGAAGAAAGCCAGATTCTCACCACCCTGGAATCAGTGTGTAAATCTGCTGCAGTCAGAGTGAAGAATAAGCTTCGGATTTGGAGTGCTTATGTTAACTCACTTCCTGTGTATAGTCTGACGTGAGAGTCATCTAAAGCTTTTTCAATAAGCCTCAGACTTTCATCAACAGCTGCCTTCTCTTCATACTGAAGACCAAATGACCAGTTGCATAGGATAAGCATCCAGAGACTTTGGGAATGAGCCAAGAATCTGTTACCCAGCAAATGTCTGGAAGAAAATGTAGATAGGTCTGTGGAGACCTTTGAGTGACCTGAAGGGAAGCTGTAGTGAGAAATGACGAGTTGGTCTACCATGAGTGACACAAATGAGATAGTATCAGGTGGAAGCGAAATCTTATGGACAATCGTTGAGGCAGCTATAGGAGATTAGGGAGAATAAATGAAATAGAGATCTGCTGGTGAATCCCTATGTTCCACTGAGAACTAACGGTGTATTAACAGATAATAATGAAGGCTCCTGATATTTCCTATTGCACTTCCAACTTCCACAATATTTTCACATTAGTATCTGAGATCCTGAGGTACAGTTACTCATCATCATATCTTATTGTAAATTTTTATACACACATTAAAATATTTCTTATTATTATAAAGGCTGTATTTCTTTTTAGAAATAGAATATGCATTTAAACTGGGCAAACCGTTAATTTTTCTACGCGCTCAGCCAGATTACAAACCTGATAGTTGGTTAGGCCTTATGTTAGGCACACAAGTATATATCGATATCTCGGGAAAGTATCCCTTTGAAAAGTATTTTAGCGATTTGTGCAGAAGACTTGACAAATATCTTCCAAAAACAGGTGGGATGATACAAAAATGTTTTAGATTTTATAAATTTTAATTTTGTTTGGTATAAATCATCGCTTTTTATATGTCTTTACGCAAATGTAAACATTCAGTGTACTTCAGTATGAAGTATATTATATTTGCAGGCTGTAATCCAGATGGTGAAAACGTCACAATTGACTATCCAGTTCACAGAATACAACCACGCTGAAATCATCCACCTAACGAACAAATATTCCTATACATCAACGATGTATTGATTTTGTCAGAAAATCTTTGTAGTATATCCATACAGTGTAATTTAAGGTAGTTATGATGCATAAATTTCTGATGTGTTCATTTTTATTCAATATAGGAAAAATATTCATTCAGACTTCTATAAAACACAAAATAATTGAGCAAAGAATATCCTTTTTGACAATTTCCTCTTCTGGCTCTACAATTAAATACATATTTATTTACACAGAATATTATAGAGTAGTAGTCAATAACAGTATTAGTGTTTCTTAAATAATATCGATTTGTTAAGTAAGGTTATGAGAAATGAGCATGAAGCAAAGAACATCCTGGATAAATTTAACGAGATTCGTCCTGCAATAAATTTTACTATGAGAAAGAAAAAGACACCAGTATTTCATTTTTAGACGTCCTTATGACCAGAAAAGACGATGGCACAATAAAAAGAAGTGTATATTAAAAACTTACATCAACTGGTCAGTATACCCATGTTTTCAGCTTTGTGCCCTTGAAATGTAAGCGTAATCGGATAAAGCGCTTGATTCACAGAACAAGAGCAATTGCTCGGATGAATGTCTTAATGAAGAACTTAATAATATCAAACGGTTGTCCAGAGAAGTTTATTGTTAAGAATATGATTCAAAAATCAAGGTAGCCCAAGGTACCAACAGTACCTAAACACGCCTTATTCATACTAATTCAGTTTCTCGGGGGAATACAACAGCGAGATACTCACACAGCGCTTTAGAAATGTGGTAAAAAGAGGATTTCCTGCAGCTGAATTACACTCTGTCTTCAAAACCACCTCTATTTACCATTCGAGAGTAAAAGACAAACTACATAATTTCGGTTCTTCCATATGTATCTATCAGTTTAACTGCTCTTGTGTAGCCAGTTACATAGGCCGTACAATTAGGCGTGTTTCTCTTTGGCTTTTCGAACATAACTCCTGCGTGGTTAGGTAAAGGACAAACAAAATCTATTCACAGCGATATTCTATCTCATCTTGTGGATGCAGAACACAAGATTAGTGTTAACCAGGCTTTACCGCATACCAACAAATCTCAATTTCACTTAAGATTTCGTTTACTAAATATTGCTGAGGCTGCTGAGATCCATATTAACAAGCCTAATTTATGCATCTGAAAGAAGCTAGTTCAGCATTATCCACACCTTGGCCATCTAGGTTTAAATGATCCTCAATTTTTGTGGAAATTTCCTAATTTTAGTTGATATTCCATTTGCTATTCTATTTTTATTATTATAATTTATGCATCTTTAGTGAACTGTAATTCCATTGGTCATAGTTTACAAATCGATATTATTTAAAAAACACTAATATCGTTATCGACTACTATTCTAGAATATTCTACGTATGTAAACATTTATATAATTGTAGAGCCAAAATAGGAAATTATCGAGAAGAATATTCTTTGCTCAATTATTTGTTTTTTATAAATTTTCATTCAGTTTCTCCAGCAGTTATATAAACTTCTCAACTGAATTTGACCAGATATATATATTTGAAACGGTGAAAACTGTGAACTGAAAATAATTAGATAACGGTATGCCTCAAGTTAGAGGTTTTATTGAAAAGTATCCAACTAAGAGAAGGAGCATTACCACCGATAGTTCCCATTTTAGTCGTAGCATGTCACCTTGGAGGAAGCATTCATATCAAATTATTCCTTAAGATTTAGGATGTTTTTTTTGTTGCTAAGATGATATGATTGCTGGTTTTTTATTGTTGCATGTCATCTTCTCAATAATTTGCTGGATTAACTGATTTTCCTTCACTTATCTCATATGATAAAGCCTTTTCTTCGAGTTGATGATAATTTTTTTAAAGTAGACTGTCCTTTGATTATGCTTTCATTGTCACTGTTATTTAGCTTGACTTTGGGCCATTAGAAAACCACTATGGTATGCTATTGAATCGAATTTCGGTGAATATTGTCATCACGGGTTTCATTGTTCCATCTTGACATCTTAGTTCCAAACATTGTTTTCTCAAATTATACTGTTTCCTCCAATACTCAGTAGTCACCTTTCCTGTCATGTAGAAGAGATGCTTGCACTTTCAAAGTTTAATGAAGCCACTTGAAGATACTTTTAGCGCATTACTGACAACTCAATTTTTTGTTAAACCAAGCTGTTTTCATCTTCTACGGATGATATTTCCTGAAAATTGTGTAAACGTTTGGTAGTCTAACGGAATCCACAAATACGTTAATATTCCCTCAAGTTTACATCGATTACATTCCAATTTCTGCAGTCTTCTTAAGCTGGTTCCTCACACAATCTCCTATGTGTCATCCTAAGACTCCAGGCTATCTCGTCATTTCCTATCCACGTTTCAGTGTGGGCTTGGCTCATGATGTCACTCAGCAGTTTTCTCAGCGTATGCCCGATTCATCTCAATTTCTGTTACGACGGACAACACAACACTGTTATCTCCATTATATATAAGGTTTCTAGTGCAAACTATTGCTCATAATCATATCGAGTCACTCACAACAAAACACCAACACTCCGTTACAACAATTTACTTCAGCAAATTTGTTGGTTGATGAATTGCCAGAGTTTCTTGTCAGTTAACCTATCTAGCTGGTCATCTGTTCCTCCGTATGCAGAGGAGGTACCTGTTGATGAAACTCTCCAACCGGCTGTTAGTGATGCTTTTGATGACTCACTAGTCAAGTTTCTGAACCATGTAGAAGAAGTGACTTGATGACATTAGTGTCAATAATCCTGATCTTGTTTCTTATGCTGGGTATAGAATAGATTTGCATACTGATTTCAGGTGAATCAGAATCTGTGTTGCCTTTCCAGAAGTGCTGATGATATTCTCATTTGTTCCGTCTCTGGCTGAAACGATGTTTTTCCTAGATAAGTGAAATAGGTGACTTTCTTAAGATTTCTGACACTGATAATAATTGGTGCTTATTGTTTGTATTCGGGTATCTTAACCACCTCTGCATTCTCTTGAGGTCCTGCCGTGTCTCTCCTGCCAACTTGCTGGGTTTGCCCGTAGATCTTGACATGTTTTTGAAGTTTAATAGCAGAATATTGCCGTATTACTGGATATCGACAGCAAAAAGCACCTAGTAATAAGTAGAAATTCTAACAGATGCCATTTCAGGCAATTATTTTTCATATGAAATTCTCTAAAATCAAATTGCTAGGACTTTCGGTTTTTCAATAAAAAGTTGTTTTATTTTTAATAGGTCAGGTCACTTAAAACTCAAACTTCATTGTTTTGCTCTGATATTTGATAAGTCGACCAATATATAAATGAAATTTTAATGTTAATTTCCTACTGGAAATAATGACTGGACAATTTTGTTGTTAATATTTCATTTTTAGGAACAGATTGCATTCCAACACAATCCTCTTCTGCGAGTGAAAGCAAAGAGTGAATTCTTGTTATAACCCACTGATGTACACTCCGAATGGAATCAAAGTATGACAGTTCCTATGCATTTATAGAATTTGCTTGGAGCATTTTACCTATATATGTACTCACTGGAAACTTATATTTTCTGAAACCATGAACGTTAAATAGTCATTTTCTCTGAGCATAACTTTGCATATTTCTACTTCTTTATTCGATATGCTTGTATATTTGAAAAAAGAAACGTTTTAAAGAGATTTTAACAAATTTTAACATTAATTTCCATCTTTCTTTTAAATATGGCAAATTTTTTTCCAGTGGCCAACTATATTACTTATATTACGTTATACTACTTATTTCTTATATAGATGAAGACATTCACACATAACATCATATTGACTTTTATTTGGTTTCCTTTAAGACTGCCCAATATCACTATTCAATTGATAATAAATACTAATAGATTAACTTGAAACTTTATGAAACTCAAAACTGTTAATTGAGATTACCACTGAGAGGCGAAATAAATAGTCATATGAGCCGGTCGTCAGAGTCGAGTCGGTGACATTGACAGGTTTTCTGCAGCACTTTTGTATATTTCCATGAAACTAGATGTAAATAGCCATCAAGATTCTATGAGACAAATAATGAAATCTAGAGAAGGCAAAGTATGGCACTCACAATCTCAGTAGCCTTAAGCAAACAATCAGAATTCAGATGCAAAAAGAGTCGAAACCGTTAAAAATGTATTAAAAATCACCACATACACTGGTTGCTGACCTCTTATGTGTTGTAAAAATGTCTTTCAGATTCCTCATAGATAATCCATAGAGAAATCGTACCATGTAGCTGAATGCAGATCATGGTACTTTGAGATCTATTGGTATTCCTAACTTTGTTCTTCTACCTATCCTAAAATCCCTCGATAGACTTTGTGTGGGTACTTGTGGTTGGATTCACGAAGTCGGAGGAGTGGTTGACATGGTGACGAACAAAAACTAAAGATGTTAACCCGTTATATGCCTTCCATTTGTCCTTATGTATCATCATTTTCGGCATGATCAATCTCTGAATTATTGGAATAAATATGGAGGCATTTCTATCAGACATTGTTCCCACAAAAGTATCACAAAGTCCCAGCACCCAAACTTGATTAGGCCTTCTGTCTCCTTTATTCGTCGGGAAAGTTTCACCAGTATGCACAGTAACTTCTATTCTTCATAGTCAAGCGGTAATCCTCTCTAATTTCCATGATGCTGAGTTTCTACAATTTGGATACCATTGAGACCAGCATGCTTTCTGTCTGCACTGCTGCTGCCCTTACAAGCCTTTGCAAAAACCTAAAATACATGAGCCATAGGATATCTGACAAGGACAGCTTAGACTTACAGTAAAAAGTTCCAACGAAATAAGAAAAATAGTGTACCAACCCTTACGAACAGATTTTCTCTTATAACATGAACCGAATCTATAGCAGTATTTACAGATCGCAAGGCTGGGTTGGCTTGTTGTCATACTCTCCTCAATCTGTTATTGACACATTAACCAAATACTCGGTTTTCGTGGGACTTATCAACCAAATCTATTAAAGCATACATGATCTGATCTGGAATGACTTTTCTTAACGTTCACTCAATCTGAGTGACTGTTGAAAGTCAAGTGTTGATGGTCCTTGAATTTGGCTGTTATAGTTCAAATTCGCCTAAGACCTTTCAGCTTGGTAGTTAAGATAATTTCTACGGGTGTTTTGATTTCTTATTTTCTGTAGTTGCATTTATTAGCGACTATATTCTAAACTTCAGTGTACGGGCTGCTCTTCTGTGTGAAACTTCTCATTCAATAATACTGAGATGAGACTGAATTAGTACCCACATTTAAGATTTACTACTTATGTCATTAGTTATAAGCATGTCTTCAGATAAATACTTAGTTTTTCTTAAGAGTGTGTAGTGATAGCGAGTTTTTAAGCCACTGATTAGCCCAAACAGGTATCGATTGTCCAGTTGGCGAATTATCATAATCCATATGTAAATAAGTTGAAGAATATTCTGTTTAGAATAAATTAAATATTAATTTTTGTTACAAGAGTTACTGTTGACGGTTATCACATTTGTTTTATCAATCTCTGTAATGACTGTCACTCATAATAATTACTATTATTACTATTATTAGGCATGTTTATCGATCGAAATCGCCTACATTTAACAAAGTTTTACATGATTATGATTGGTCCTCTCGTTTGCCTTTACATCATATTTCCTTCTAGTTAGCTTGCTTTTAATTACTAAGAAAAATAAACATATACATTCCCATTATTACCAGGAACTTAAGATGTCATTTTATTTGACTACATCAAAGACTTTACTGGTGTTAGTTCATTTTGGTAAATATGAACTGTTAGACGGTTGGAGGTGATCAGCAGGAAGCTTGCAACCTAGGTTTCATCCCAACGAACCCGATTACCTTAGGGGTAACGTCTCTGATAGTAGCACTGGGTGACACGGGCTCAAATCTCCTTAAGGAAATGAGTTTCTTCAAGAAAGCAGATATGCCTTGTTGACGATGGCCAACAGGCTAAAAACCTAGGTTCAAGACTCCCCACTGATTGCTTCCGACGCATTTAATTGCAGCAACTCAGAGTACTGCGTGATGACAAGCCATCCAATATGGTGGCCATACTGCAAAATTTGACTTATAGAATCCAATCTACACCAATCATATGAGTAGGCACATTAAACTAGTTACTGTCTAGTGTCAACTGAAGTCACGACCTATTTCAGGTACAGGTTTTCCATTTATAACTTCCTTAAATCCTGAAGTATTTTTTCTATTCTGAAATGATCCTAATAATTTCAAAAAGTATTGTATCAAACAAACAGAATGGTAGAGAGAAGAGCTTTATTGTTTGACTAGTATTTGACTATCTTATGTCAGAATACGAACCACACGACTGAATTAGTCTGAAAAGTCCTTCGTGTGTGGTCTGAATGGGTAGTACGCAAGAATAAGGAAAGATTGTCAAAATTGTTCATGACTCTTCATAATCTCCGCCTGTACTCTGACTCTCTGCATTTTGGATGAAATTAAGGATGAGTTTTACGTTAGACTGTTTGATATGTCGCTAATAAGAAGATACTCAGATTTAACCATATTATTGACTGATTTTAATGCCATTTTACGGATTTTAGACCAAACTGATAGGCATATTTTAGCTATCTGCACATTTCACTGCTGATCAACACACAGGATAATATTCTCCCTTAGTTATTTTATAAGGATTCGATCTGTATCAGGTTTGATCACGTACTGATTTCCTAGTTCGGGACTCATCGAAAGTACCTACGTACCGAGGTTCGAACCCAGGACCTCTCGGTCGCAAGACAAGGCCTTAAGCCATTCAGCTGCTGGTGCTCATTAGCGACTGACTATAGAAAAAAGTTTCCTAGAGTTCCTGAGCGAAGTTGTGACCAGTGAGGTCCATCAGGCTGGGCTTGAGGACAAACACTAGCTGATGATATTCTCTGGTGGTTGCTGTAAGTTCACGAATTAGTGCAACTTGGAATTCATTGGCTACTGATTTGGATTCCAGTGACTAGGTGGTCTAAAAGCTGAAGTGTCCCAGTTCCAAATAAATATATCCAATATGCACTCTAACTAGCTAAGTTAGTCAAATGGCTGAAAATGTGTTGCAAAAATTAGGAACGATTAGTGTTTATTAGTAAGCAGAATGTGTGGGTTAGTTTCGTGTCTCCAAAACCTGTAGTAAAATGGTTTTAGAGCACAAAGAAACTGTACACTTCATTTGATAACTTATTGAAAGTAAACTTGAAAAACCAATCACTGAAGTCATTTGCACGTATAAAAGAAGTAATGGCCTATTTCAAATTGTCAAGAGGACATACTTCACTGTGTTTATATGATTAGGGAGTTATCGTGATTTTATATAACGCAATAATTAGTTATTGGTGGCAATAATATCATCACTGGTCTGTCATAAAAGTGATAGAAGGTAAAAATATACCATTTCACTAACCAAAAACTTTTAAACAACTTCTACAAAATGACTAATTTTGTCTATAAAAAGCCTCGAGTCTTTCTGAATAATCTGTGCTATATTTAGCTAGATGATGAAAGGCATGAGCATCTCAGTGGTAGAATGCTCGCTAATTGCAAGTGTAGTTTGGGTTCGATTCTCTGCTGACACACTCCTAAACCACGCTTAGCCAATAGTAGGTTCGATAAAGACGTCATGTTGGGCGTGAGCCTAGTGATACCACCAAATAAAAAGTCACTACCTCGGCTATGACTTCAAAGCTGCAGCTTGAAATCTTGTGGTCTGGTCATAGCTCAAAAAAATCCTGGAAAATATATGAAAGTTGATGTGAAACGCCTTGATTCCTGTTATTGGATGCCTATTTAGACAGAAGATAGAATTCACTCTGCCCCAAAGAAAGGGCTAGACACAGCACACGAGTTACTAATGTCCAATCAAAAGCATCCAGTGGAGTCCTACAGGAGGTCAATCACGAGCCCTAATATCTCAGTGGTAACATCTCTGACTGCAGTATTCGCTGGGTGACGCGGCTGGAATCTCAGAGGGGACATGAACTCCTTCAAGGTTGCAGATATGCCTTGCTGGTTGGTGAGTGCCAACTTGCATGAAACCTATGTCGAAGGCTTCCTGTGTCCGATTGTCTCCAGCCATCTAATATCATCAAATCAATGTGCACCGTGATAGTGAGCTACCTGGCATGGTGTTCACATTACAAACCTAACTGATAGAATTCAGTCTGGACCAAAGAAACGATTAGACACATCACACTAGTTACTAGTGTCCAACCAAAACAGTCTTGTTACAGATTTCATTCAATACTTTTTGTATTGATATTCTTTCTTATTGACTACAACAAAAATAAAACTATGTTGATTTTCATGTTTTATAACAAACTAAATCGCTTTAAAGTATACAAGTTATTGATTATGGGAAATTTTAATTTTCTCCCAACAGACTTTATCGAAATGGAT